ACGGAGCCTCAGAATCCTTGCCTCCAAGGAGCCACCCGGTTTAACCCTCTCCAGGACAAATCTGTTTGTTTTCCTGGCAGTCCATGGTATTCTCAATACTCTTCTCCAGCACCACAGCTCAAAGGCATCACTATCCTATAAAAAGGGAAGAATTCGCTCTACATTTCTCAAGCAGAAAGAACTGAAAAATAAAATTAAGGCTCATGTCACAATATTGAAAGAAGCTATGGGCAATATATTGAATGACCCAGAAATCATCAAAAGAAGATGGAGGGAATTGATTGTCACTGAAAAAGTTCAGGAAGTACAATATGAACAGGAGCCGACAGTAAAGAGGAAAGAAGTAGAAGCTACATTGAAGGCACTGGAAAAAAAAAGGTCCTAGGAATCAATGGAATATCAATTGCCTTGTTTCAAGTAACAGTTGCAGCCTTGGATGCATTCACCAGTAAATTTGGAGGACAGTTGTCGACCCAACAGATTAGAAGAGGTCCATATTTGTTCCCATTCTCAAGAAAGGTGATATGAAAACTATCAAATAATATAATTTATGTAACATGAAGGCAAAATAATGCTGATCATTCAAAAATGGCTGGAATGGTAGATAGGGAACTGCCAGAAGTTCAAGCAGGATTTACAAGAGGCCATTACACCAGGGATATCACAGCTGATGTCAGATCCATCCTGGCTCAAAGTAAGGAATACCAAAAGAATGTCTATTTTGTGCTTTATTGACTAAGCAAAAGCATTTAAATGTGTGGATCATAACAAGTTGTGGTTGACACGGAAAAGAATAGGAATCCCAGAGCACTTGAGTGTGCTCATGCGGAACCTATACCTGGAGCAGGAGGCAGCTGTGAAAAGCAGCAGGGGAGCACTGCATGGTTTGGAATTGAGAAGGGAGTGGGAAAGTGTTGTATTCTCTCTCCATACCTCTCCGTATTCAATCTGTATGCTGAGCAAATTATCTGAGAAGCTGGACTCTATGAGGAGTATGGCATCAGGATTGGAGGGAGACTCATCCATAACCTGCGTTATGCAGATGACACAACGTGTTTGCTGAAAGTGAGGAGGACTTGAAGCATTTAATGCAGAAGATCAAAGAACGCAGCCTTTGGTATGGATTGCATCTCAATGTCAGGAAAACAAATATTCTTACCACTGCACTGACAGGCAGCATCATAATGGATGGAGAGGAGATTGAAACTGTCAACAGTTTCCTCTTGTTTGGCTCCACAATTAACACCCTTGGTACCAGCTATCAGGAAATAAGGAGATACACTGCATTGGGAAAATCTGCAATTAGGGACCTCTCCAAATTCTTGAGGAGTAAAGGTATCAGTTTGAGGACTAAGGTGCGTCTTATTCAGGCCACAGTCTTTCCAATTTCTTGCTATGGATCTAAGAGCTGGTCAATGAATGACAGAAAATAAATGATGCCTTTGATCTCAGGTACTTATCTGTTGTTCATAGGGTTGCTATGAGTCATAGCTGATTCTATGGCACCTAATAATAACAAAAAGGCTCAGATGAAGTATCATTTACAAAAACAATTTCTAAAACTTTCTTATTTTGTAGGCAACTCACTGCACATGTTGATACAAAAGGTTCTGTGAAATTATATATGTACCTTGTATGATATATTCTGAAATTTTCTATTAATAGTTTTAAATGCTAGTTATTACTCACTAGATGGATTTCAGCTTGTAGTTTTAAAAACAATGATCTAGTGGGAATGAGTCTAGATGACCTTTACCAAGGAAACTAGAAGTGAGAGTAAATATTGTCAGAAAAGAAAAGCATTAAGCAAAAAATGCTACCAATCTCTTTACCAAAGGCACTTTAAACTGTGAAGTTGTAAGTCATCCTACTTTCATTTCTCATCTGTGGATTTCCCGTGTGGCAATTTGTCTATAATGACTATTATTTTGGAATTGAGTTGGTGGATTTCTGAAAAGATTGTTGGTATTATGTGGTTATACCTTGGTAAAGAGTAAGATTTCATATGAATAAAAGCAGACATATTTTCCCTTCTTTGCTTCAGTTACCCCAGCTTGAAGTGAGAGGGAAAAAAATTGGGTGATTTCTCTTACATTATATATGGAATGAGTGAGAAAGAGTGTATGTGCTTATGTTTAACTTTGAAACCACTAAATTGTGGGTTGTGAGAAAACTGATTGTAAGAAAGTGTACTTCACTTAGTTTAACACCTTGTTTTCTTGTGCCGTATTTGATTTCACAGTAAAATCACTCTGTAAGTGGTAAAGGTATTTTATAGAAAATGGTTTGATTTCTTTCTCAAAGTTTGAGTGCAAATCAAGATGTAATACTTTGTTCTGAGTGCCAACCTAAGCTCTTCATTCTTCTCTCAATTTTAGATGGATCTTAGCTGAAAGCAAGAGTACCAGAGTACTATCTATCAGTGTTTAATTGACTATGCAAAGGCATTTGATGGTGTGGATCACGATAAACTTTGGCTAACTTTGAGAAGAATAGGAATCCCAGAACACTTGACTGTGCTTATGCAAAACCTATACTTAGACCAGGAGGCAATCGTCAGAACAGAGCAAGGAAACAGTGTATGCTGCAAAATCAGGAAGGGTGTACACCAGGGATGCATTCTGTCTCAATACCTTTCCAATCTATACACAGAACAGATCATCCAGGAAGCTGGGCTCTATGAGGAGGAATGTGGTATCAAGATTGGAGGAAGACTCATCCACAACCTTCATTATGCTGATAAGACAGCCTTGCTTGCAGATATTAAGGAGAACCTGAGGCATTTGCTGCAGGTGGTCAAGGACTGCAGCCTTACCACATCAAGCTGAAGCTCAACATCAAGAAACAAAGATTCTTGGAGCTCTAGTGGCCTGGGGTAAGAAGCTGTGCTGCAATCCCAAAGGCTCGCGGTTCAACTCCACCAGATGCTCTGGAAAAAGAGGGGCAATCTCCTCCTGTGCCAGTCAGATCCTACTCGACAGTGCACAACAACAAAAAAGAGATGGGGGGGATAAAACAAAGATTCTCACCACTAGGCAATAGTCTACTGAAGAGCAATTATGTGAATCTAGAAAATTAAGACACGCCTGATCCAGCCATGGTTTTTGCAATTATGTGCTATGTATCACAAAGCTGAACAATGGTTAGAGATAAAAGAAGGAGAATTGATGCCTTTGAGCTGTGGTGCTGGAGAAGAGTACTGAATATATCATGGACTACTAGGAAAACAAAAAGATTCAACCTGGACAGGGTGAAAACAGGCTGCTCCTTGGAGGCAAGGAAGCTTCATCTGATTTATTTTGGGAATGTTCCATGGAGGGACCAGTCCTTAGAGATGGATACCATGCTTGGGAGGGTGGAGGGACAATGAAGAAGAGGAAGATCCTGGATGAGATAAATTGACTCAGTGACTAGACTAATGGGAGGAGGGTTGTCAGAGACAATGAGGGTGACTCAGGATAGAGTAGGGTTCAGACCTGTTATATATAGGGCCACTGAGTCACAAGTGACTTGACAGCACATAACAACAACAATCAGAGAGCTGGACAATGACTAAGGATGATAGAAGAATTGATGCCTTTGAGTTGTGGAATATTGAACATACCATGGACTGCTAAGAGGACAAAGAGGTCCACCCTGGAGAGGGTGAAACCAGGTTGCTCCTTGGAAGCAAGGATTTTGAAGGGCCTTCTGACATACTTTGGGCATACTGCCAAGAGGAACCAGTTCTCAGATGGGAGCATCATGTTTGGAAGGGTGGAGGACTACCTCGAGAGGAAGACTCTGGATGAGATGGATTGACTTAGTGGCTGGGGTAAAGGGAGCAGGTGTGTCAAGAGACAATGAAATTGGTTCAAGATAGAGCAGGTTCAGATCTGTTGGACATAGGGTTGCAATGAGTCACACGCAACTTGATTGTACAAGCCGTTATGTGTCGCAAGTGACTCAATGGCACATAATACCTTGCTTTGTCTTCTTGAGCTGCCCTTCAAGAACTTCTCTTGAGTTCTCTAACCTCAGCATTCCTTCCCCTAGTTTGGGTTTTTGTTCCAGGGTATGTTTCAGAGCCTGTTCTGACATTCATTTTGGTCTTTTCTTTTGTCTCTGTCTTTGTAATGAACTTTTGCTTTCTTCAGCAATGATGTCCTAGATGTCATTTCACAACTTATCTGGTCTTCAGTCATTAAGAGTTCAGTGTGAGGTGCGTGGTTTGAATCCACCAGATGCTCTGCTGAAGAAGGAGGGACAATCTCCTCCTGTACCAGTCAGATCCGATTTGATGGTACACACATAAAAAAAAAAAAAGAGTTCAGTGTGTTAAATCTATTCTTTAAACTCAGTTGGGATACACTCAAGGTCCTATTTTGGTTCTTGGGAACTTGTTTTCATCTTCAACTTCAGTTTGAACTTGCATATGATAGTCTGTTCCATAGTCAGGCCCTGATCCAATTTTCACTGCTGATCTTGACATTATCCTAAGTCTCTTTCTACCAAAAAGGTAGTTAATCTAATCCCTG